ATTAAGTGGTAAAATTGAAAACAAAATGTCTTCTAAAACCAACAAAAGGACTTCTCACCTAATTATTTTACAAAGAGTGGGCTTCTCACCAATAAAAAATAAGGGGACTTACGGGCCGGTCCCAAGGAAGTAACTTAATACCGGTCAAGTCTTGTTTTATTTTTGTTTTCAATTTTACCCTTAAATATCACACTACACGCGTAAAGCAAAGAGGTAGCTCACGATTTCTCCCCTACGCGGGTGACATGCACGCGCCTTTTCAAGGGTTCTATTGCACACAAACGTGTGAAGATTTGGAAACCAATTCTCAAGGGATTTTCGATTTGGAAATTGGAACAAATTAAGAGATTTTCGGCTAATCTCCCACCATTTCCAAAGAAATCGCCAACTGTTTTCATACCGATTCCAAACAGATCTCCAACAAATCTTCCACCGTTTCGATGTATATTCCTATTCAGACACCTACTTTCACTGTTTAGTTCATCTTTAACAAACATACCAATTAAACGTGAGTCATACTCATCTTTCCTTCTTTCATAACCATAATTAAGTGATAAAATTTGACTTGAAGCTATTTTCAATATGTATTATAGAGTATTACTTTATCAATGATATTCAACTTCATAATCATATCTTCATGTTCATTTGCTATACAATGATGGATTTACTTACTTTTGCTAATTCAATGATAAAATTTACTATACAATGACAGATTTGCTTATTTTGCCTAATTTAGTGATAAAATTTGCTATAACAATGATAGGTTTGCTTAATTTTTCTAATTGAGTGATAAAATTTGCTATACAATGATAAATTTGTTTACTTTGCCTAATTCAATGTTAAAATTTGTTATAACAATGATAGATTTGCTTAATTTGTCTAATTGAGTGATAAGATTTGTTATAATGATGGATTTGCTTCTTTGCCTAATTCAATGATAAAATTTACTTGTGGCGACTAAAAGATGACTTTTGGCGACTAAAGCCAAAAGTGTAAATTCTTGTAGTGAACTCTACACCTGAAAAATATCAACAATGTAAGGTGAACATAGTTCAGTAGAGTTCCCAATAATTCTAATTAATATAGTACAATATGGTCATGTTTGATTCACAAAACTAATAGCGAACTATTAATAATCCTATTAAATTAGTGTGATATTCACTATCCAATTGGATTAATATCTATTAGATTAATAATCTACGCCTACCCCATTACTAATAATCCTACAAATTTGTTAGATTAATTATTAATAATCCTAAATCAAAATGTTAAAACAAACATAGGATAATTAGGCCCATGGATTAATAATCCCAATCCCATACTCTAATCCATCCAATCAAACATGCCCTATATGTATATGATCATAAATACTTTATTTATATAAATACATATATCATTAATATTCACCTTTTTGATATCCAAAATATAAATATACATAGGTACTTTTTTCACAAAAGCTATTCTTTATCATTTCAAGAATGGTCCCTCTCATTAGAAGTGCACCCACTTTACCAGGTTCACAGGAAGGAAATTGGTACCTTTCATTTGAATTGCAAACTACTTTGTCGAATGCTAATTGGAAGGAACTTGGGACCTTTCTATAGCACTTTCACTAAATATCTCAACATTAATTATATCACTTTCATTACATAGTAGCCAACAAAATTATAAAACATGTAAAGGTTCAGTTTTCCCAATTCCATAGCCATTCTACAACAAGCAATGTAATCGTTTACCGATTGTCAAAACAAATATCTCGAAACAATAAGTAAAATATAACTCAACCGACAATACCTTGTTTCTTACAATTCTAATATAAGAAAAAAAAAATTCACAACTCCATCAACAACACATTAATTATAATATTTTCAAAACCAATCATGATTTCCAATACCTCCAATCTAATCGTGTATCACAATTCTACTTATCATTTTCTCAAGTTACCTAAGTTTTTGCAACCATCACCTTATTCCCATAACTTAATTCCATTATCTTTAATATGTAATAATTATAACCTTAGCCAATTTAACCCATTTTATCAATCATATTCCAATTTACTACGTTAACTCGTGGCTCAACATTAACTCTTTCTCCCATCTCATGTAACCATTAATTACAATTAATAAGGCTTTCTAATTTTAACATCATCAAAGTGTTCTAGTAGCATCAATTCATCATATTAAATAAGAAATCACAAGATTTATTACGTCAACTCAAAACTCTAACTCCCATTATATGAATTTCAAAAACTTCTCATAAAAATCTAGACTGTGTTTAGAACGATTTCCAAACTATGATTCTACCCCCACATTCCAAGATGATGTTTGGATAGGATGTTCAAATTATATTTCCACAACATTTAGAAAACTCTGTGTGAGGCGCGATTTTCAATTTTAATTTTAATTTTAATTTTTTTTTAAAATTTGGCGAAACTGGATGTTCTACCGATCGTCCGGTCGGTTGACCGGAACAGTGCAGCTTTTTTTTTTTTTTTTTTTTTTTTTCAATTTACCTTTTTTGGGTCTCTTTACAGCTACAGCTATAGTATTTTATATTATATGTTAACATTTTTTATGTGCTTTAATAGAATTTTGAGTTATATGTTTGGTTATAAATTGTAAGTTTTTGTAACAAATATCATATCACATCAAAAATTTCTCACTCAATTCAAAACTCTTTTTAAAACTCTTTCACCAAACAAATTTTTCTCACTCAAATCATAATTCCAAAACTCACAAACTCAAAATACAATTCCTACTCTCAAATTATATTTAGAAAGCTCTACGAAATACAACCCTAATTTTCTTGCAATATAAATACTACATATCCAGTACAACAATTATATTAAGGAAAATTAGAAAAATCTCTACCTCTTGAAGAGAATTGAAGAAAAGTCCAAAAATCAATTTCACCGAAATTTGATACAGATATGCTTGTCATTTTGGCATTAAAAACAAGTACCAAGAATTCAATGGATTTGGTTAGATTAAAGAAAGCGTGAAGGTTTGAGGTGTTGGGTATAGAGAAGGGAGAGGCAAGAGAAAATAGGGAGTGCAGAGAGAGATTAAGGGGTTGTTTTGGATGAGCTAAATAAGTGTATTTTTTGTTTTTTTATGAAAAGATATGTAAAAAAATAGAGAGGTGATGTGATAAAAAAAAAATAAAAAGATGAATTATATTAAAGTTGCCAAACTTGACCTAAAAACAAGTACCAAGAACTCAATAGATTTGGTTAGATTAAAGAAAGTGTGAAGGTTTGAGGTGTTGGGTATAGAGAAGGGAGAGGAAAGAGAAAATAGAGAGTTCAGAGAGATTAAAAACAAGTACCAGGAACTCAATGGATTTGGTTAGATTAAAGAAAGTGTGAAGGTTTGAGGTGTTGGGTATAGAGAAGGGAGAGGAAAGAGAAAATATAGAGTTCAGAGAGAGATTGATGAGAAATTAGAGAAATGACGGTTTGAGTCGAAAGAGCTTGGGTATGTTTGGTTTGTGTTTGAGAGATGTGTTTTAGAGATAAAAAATATCAAAAGTTGTTTGGTTTGATTTTTTTCAAAAGATGTTTTGGAAAATTATTTTGAGAGAGAGTTTTGGAAAAAGTGATTGATTTGATGTGTGTGAGAGAGAGAGATTTGTTTGAAAAATTTGTTTGGTGTACAAGTTTTGAGAAATTTTTTTGAAAAAATTTGTTTGATTTGATTACTTTTAAAAACTTATTTGTAGAGAAAATTTTTTAAACTTTTTTCAGAAATACAAACCAAACGAATCCCTTGAGTTTTGAGACAATTCACGCCTCGAGCCGCATGTGTGGGCCCCATGGTCACACGTGTGGTTCACTGTAGCCCCAAAACCCAGATTCCCACCTAAGTCGCACATGCGGCACAACTCCCCGCATGCGCGGAACAAAGCCCAACAACTAATTTTTTCGCTGCACTAATATAAGATGAGAAACTCCAATGTTAGAAAAAAGCCAACGATGGAAGTATGTCACCGTAAAGTAGTCCACACGCCACATTGATTTTTTTATTTCTATTATAATATTTATTTAATTAGTAATATTTGGGTAACTAATGTGAGAGATATTCACTATCTTATATATAGTGGTTTTCGGTTTTACGAAAGTTACAACTTCCTTAATGGTAGCAAATTATTAGGGGTTACATTGGATCACGGGTCCAAATTTATCTATATATGCCTGCGATTACCATCAAAATATAGACGTTTTGAAATAGAATAGATTTGAAACTCTGATCCTTCCACTTCTCTATATGGTTCTGTGAAAATTGTGTTACATATTTATGAGTAATTTTTTTTTTTTATACATTCAAGACTTGATCAACCAACAAACAATATATTCAAAAGCTTAAACAAGATGGTAGAGAGTATTCCTCTTTCTTATTAAATTATTTTAGTTCTAAGAATTGGTATTAGAGCCTTACTTCTGTTACGTTGTTTTGTCTCCTTTTTATCTGTTTGGAATTTTTGCTTATGGGGTTTTTGGGTAACTTTATACAAGCTGATGGAACCACTTTTAAATTCTCAAAGAGGAAAAGATTAATATTACATTAAGAACTCATTTGGAAATAAATTATTTTAATAATTTTTTAATTTTTTATAAAAAAATATGTAAAAAAATAAAAAGAACAAAATAACAACTTATAATAATTTTTTAATTAAAATATATAATTAGCAAACGAAACCTAAGTCAAATTCTATAACAGTGTGTTTGTCATTCTTTTGAAATAGACCCAACAATTAAATTGCATACAAAGGCGGTCACGTGCCCCTATCTTTCATTGGCTCCATCTTTGGTCATAGCAACATGTTGTATCACTTGCTAAAGAAAAACTATTCAATAATCTTGCGACAATTCATATTATATATAAATTTAATATTTATTAGTTAAAATAATAAATTTTATTTTATTTATTTCTTTTGATTTTTAAAAAAATAATTTAATAGATATAAGTAAGTGATAAATGATATTGAGTGATACTCGAACAAGACCAAATAACCATTCCAATAGATAGGCCACAATATTATAAACAAACCAAAAATATTATATAATCATTAAAAATCAATTACTAAGCTTCCACATATCTTTCCTTCACTTTCACAGGTAAACCACCCTTCATCCTCAAAGTCAAAGATAACAAATGCTCGGGACACTTGTCCTTATTTAGCACGTCAATCTCGAACCTCTCCATCACGGATGCTGCAATCGACTTCATCTGAATATACGCCAACTCCTTCCCGAGACACATTCTCGGACCCGCATGAAATACCGGATACCGGAACGGACTCTCCTGTTTTACCGTACCGTTTTCAATCCACCTCTCCGGTTTAAATTCCCTACAGTCACTCCCCCATATACTCTCCATCCTCCCCATTGCATATGTGTGATAGGTCACAAACCAATCCTTCTTCACAATCGTACCGTCTGGTAAAACGTCGTCGTCTTTGCACGCCTTAGTGTCTACAGGAACTGGAGGGTACAGTCTCATAGCTTCGGAAATCGCCGCGTGTAGATATCCCATTTCGCGTAACTCGTCGAAACTGTACGTTTCGCCGGTACGTTTCGCGTTTCGGGTTCTTACCGTTTCGAGCTCTTGGAGAATCTTTTTTTGGATCTCGAGTCTAGAGGAGAGTAACCAGAAGAACCAAGTGAGAGCCGACGATGTCGTATCGCGGCCGGCGAGGATGAGTGGAAGGAGGTAGAAGGAGAAGGAACAACCATGGGAGACATCCTTAAAGCTTCTTGTTTCTTCCTCTTTTTGCAAACCCTAGCCTCCCTCTTTAGGTCAAAACAATTTCATAACCCTAATCTAGCCTTTTTCTTGCCTCCTTATACTTCCAATCTCGTCCAAACAGGTTTAAAACGTCGGTTTGACTTTCCCAGAAAAAGTCAACGCATGCGCGAAAAAGTCAACGCACGTGCGGAAAAAGTCAACGCATGTGCGGAAAAAGTCAACGCACGTGCGGGAAAAGTCAATTCTGCCAAAATTCTGTCTTTTTGCTCATTTTATGCTCCGACGATGTATAACCTGATTGACACTCAACACACATAAAATATACGGTTTGACCAACAAGTGAAGTTAAGAGATTCTAATTAACGGCCTCAATGATGTACATTTCGGCCTTAATCAGTTATGAATCGAATGCCTTTTGGGTAGTTATCGAAGTTGGTTTTGAGGATGTGTTCGACGTTTAAGGGGTTGGCGGTGATGACGCCGTGGACTTTGCCGGGGCGGCGGAAGACAGCGGTGTTGGTGGGGCAGAGAGAAAGGACTTCGGTGGACCAGTCGAGGAAGCGGTGGCGGTTTTGGATGAAATCTGGGAGGGTTCCGACAAATGGGTAGAATTTGAAGCCTGTTGTTTGGGTCGGTTTGGGTTTTCGGATAAGGAAGAAGTGGAAAATGTAGAGAGAGATGAGGAAGATGAAGAGAAGGCTTTGGATGGATGAAAGTTCCATTTGAGAGAGAGATATGAATGACATGAAGGGTGTGGTGGTTTTGTGTGGATATGCAGTAGTATAGCACTAGATAAGGTAGAAATTATTTAATACTTTTTAAATAATTTTATGTGTTATTGTGAAATAATAATTGGACGGACCAATAATTTATGTAATTGTCTCTTAAGATTGTAAGTGAATCAGAATTTGAATCCATGGAAGGACTGATTTTTCGTTGTGATTTAACTTATGAACCTTTCATTATTTTATTAAAAAAAAAAAAAAAAAGCTAAACAAACTCGATGAATGAATCATTAATTTTTAAATTTATAACAGATGTTTTTGTGATGAATTTAAAAAATACAATTGGTAAAATATCTATCCGTAAATGGAATAGAATTGATGGAGTTTTCAGTAATAATCTAACATAATTATGGTTATTTTCACACACACACACAAAAGTATAATCATTAAATAAATAAATAAATAATTAATGATTATCCTAAAGTGCGTGGATATGTAGTAGTAGTAGCAGCACTAATATTTTTCAAACAAGTTTAGGTAATATTTTCAAACAATAATTATTAATTTAAATTGATGACTTATATTTGTATTATAAATTTTAAAAATATAATAGATAAAGGAGAATGTTTTCCTAAATGGAATAGAGCGCAATCATTAAATAATTTGTTTTAGATAGCATTTACGTGGTCTTAAATGATGGCTTAATTGATGGAAGTTGATCTTGTATTATTAAAAATTATTAATTTCTGATGTGTTTTACTTGATGGAAGTTAATCTTGTATTATTAAAAATTATAAATTTGTGATCGGTTTTGATAGCGTAATCATTTTTTTTTTATCTATTTATATTTTTTGTGGAGATAATCATATGTCAAATTTGAGATATATTTTGATGAGGTAACAAAATTGTTATATACTAAAAAGTGCCTTAGGGTATTATTATTGAATATTTAAAAAAAAAAACACACACACACTTCAAAATGGGTTAAAAGTGAAAGAAATATAATAATTTTAATAAAAAATAGATTAACTTTAATAAAAAAATATTTGGTACTTCTTTCTGTTTTTGTCTTTCTTGGAGCCATAGGAACACTAAACGGACAAAATTCAAACTTGTAAATTAATTATCAAATTCGTGATACGTTTTGTAAGGATTATCACATTCAAACAAATTGTTTACCAAAAAAAAAAAAAAAACCATGAGATTAATTAAGTTTTATATGATTCCATCAAACTTGGTATATAATCAACCAATTAAATAGTGACAATGCATCACAATTCTAGGTATCTTATTTAGCGAAAATAATTTGGTTGTTTTAGAGCAAGTTTATAGAGTATCCCAATTTAATTTTTATTGATTAAAACAGTGAGACTTAACACTGTTTTTTTAATTTTTGAAAAACAACCTAACAAATGTCATCTGTTAAGGGTCTGTTTGGAGTGTTCTAAAAAAGTATATTCTTTTTTATTTTTTCGACTAAAAAGTTGAGGAAAAAAAGATGGTTGTTTGGGATAATTTTTTGATATTTTACGAAAAAATATATATTAAAAAATTATATAAATTAATGTATAGGAGAAGCTTGGGTGGAGTTGTGTATAGGAGAAACTTACCTCCTTTTCAGGCATTGAATTGGATGGTATTGTTCGGCCCGTGAGGGCCTACCACGGGTCCCATTTTGTTAATCGGAACCATTCAATGTATAAAACTCGTTGAGTATTATATGTTTATAAAAAATCACGTTAATCGGATATCGATAGCTATCTGATCGGATTAGTTTTTTGTCAACTATTAACTATAACACCATCCATTTTTTATACAAAACTGATTTGATCATGTAGTTAGTGATATCCGATCAACGAGATTTTTTACATGCATATATTACTCGACGCGTTCTACACATTGAACGATTCATATTATCAAAACGGGACTCGTGATGGGCTCCCACGGGCCGAACAACATCGTTTTATTTGCTTCTCCACCTGTTTCCTTTGTACAAATGGTGGGCAGCTAAAGTACAACTCACGTGACATATGAGTTATACTTTTTTTTTGTAAAATTAATTTTTTTTTTTTTTTGTGAATAGTGATAATTTTTTAACTTTTTTAGTAACTTTTTGACTTTTTTTGAGGTATGCTAAACTAGTAAAACAATATCTGAAAGGGTTGAGATGAATGGGTAGAATTTAAGCCTGTTTATTGGGTTGGTTTGGGTTTTCCGAATGAGGAGAATGTGGAAAACGTGAAGAGGAAGAGGGAGAGGAAGATGAATAGAAGTTTTTCGAATGATGAGAGTTTCATTTTAGGGGAGCTTCTATTTGCACTTTATAAAGTAGGTTAAGTACTCCAATTTAATGATATAATTTTATTGATCTTAAGTCCTTATTTAAAATAATAAAAAAGTACTCAACTTTGGAAAAAATATAAATAAAAGTGTTTTGGACACCCATTCACCATCAGCCCTAATATTCCTTTCCTCTATTCTCTTCTCACTTTTATCACTTTGTATCTTCATACCTAACCCTAACTCAACCTTATTTGTTTTAATCCATCATTTTTGCATTCTATTTTACATTGAAATCAATAATAGACAATAAAGAAGACGTTTCTAAGTAATTTTCTATAGAGAAAGTAAGTTTTTAACTGTTGTTCATCGTTTTTCGTAGGTTGATTTTCCGAATTGATTTGGCATTAACTATTCGAACAAACTCCACATGTTTGGAATTAAGTATTCCGACAAATATATTTTGTTCGACACTGATTATCCATATGAAACAATTGAAACTAACTTTCTTGTGTTTGGTACTGAGTATCCGAACTAATTTCACATGTTTATAATTAGGTATCTAGACAAATATACTTTGTTCGGCAGTGAGTATCCAAATGAAACAACTAGAACCAATTTTCTGTGGTTCAAACATGAGTATTTGAACAAATTTTATATGTTTGGAATTAAGTATCTGGACAAATATATTTTGTCCGGCACTGAGTATCCATATGAAACAACTGGAACCAGGTAGTTGGTGGTGGATTTAAGAGTAGTGGTTTGTTTTGGTAGCCGAATTGTGTAGAGGAGCAGAGACTCTCTTCGTCTTAAACGAACTCAGAATCCCTCTTCGTCGCATGGAATTCCAAAGACTGCAAATGTGATTTTTGTTCCTCTATTTATTGTTAATGGAGTGTACAAAGAATATTTGTATAGGGGTTTTCGGTTTTTAGGGTTAGAATAGGTATTATTTGGGGTGCCCAAACAAATAAATAAATGTTTAAATTTATTATTGAGGTGCTCAAAGTAATGGGGTACCCAACCTACTTTTTGGGGTGCAAATAGAAGCTCCTCCATTTTAGAGATAGGAGAGAAAGGAGATAAGATATGATTTACGTGAATGAAGGGTGATTTTAACTAGGTCAGATCCTTTGCAGGGTTTTCCTGCAATGGTTCCTGTAATGTCCCCAAACAACACTGTTTTACGAAAAAATTCTAAGAAAAAAAAAAAAAAAAAAAAAAAAAAAAAAAACTGACTAACTGTTGTTTACATTTCATGTCTTTACAATGTCAGCCATCTTCTCTATTAGCTCCAACAACCCTTTGTTCCCTCATTCCCCTCTTAAGACCTCCTCCAATCGTTCTCCTCCTCCGACAATCCTCCCCCAGCCGCATCACCCCTTCCTTCCTTCCTTTTCTTGTTCCTCATTTCTTTCTTCTTCTAGATCTAGAAAAAAACAGAGGAAGAGGATCTTGTCAATTTTCAGCAATTGTGGTGGCTTTTGAATGAGGTAGATTTGCAACGATTTGCAGTAGCAACAAATATGCACATATATATAAATCAAAACAAACAAATATACAAATAATCAATTACTTTGCAGACTATGAAACAAAAGTTGAAATCATGGTTTAATTTTTGTGGAACTATTGTGGTTCTAATTCCTAAGCATGAAACATAGCATAGAACAATAAGTAGGTTCCTTTACTTGGTTTGTCCAAGTTCAGTTGAGGAAATAGTTCCCTAAATATTGATCTTTGTTGATATTGTTGTGTTACTCAAATTATATACAATAAATTTATTTGTTAATATTGTTGTGATACTCAAATTATATACAATAAATTCATTTGTTCCATACATTTTATAGCATAAATGATGTTTATTTTGTTCAATCCCATAAACGATATTTACTTCTGAAAAATATGTTTGAATAATGAAAGTTAAATATAAAGAGATGTGGGTTTAATTAAGAAAGAAGTTAGAGAGAGAAAATGAAATATTCTATTGGAGTTTGTTAGTGGTTGCTAGAATTGAAAAACGGTATTGCTTGTATGGATTCGAGATGGTTAATTTGAAAGCTTTTTCCCTAATAGCAAATCTGGTTATGCTTTCTTCTAGATCTAGAAGAAGAAGAATGAAAGAAAGAAAGAAGGAAGACGAATGAGGGAGGGGGTTGTGCGGCTAAGGGATGGTCGTCGGAGGGGAAGAGAAACCAGAGGAGGGTTTTTGAAGAGGAGGGAGGGGTTGGGGGCTCGTCGGAGCTGGTGGGGAGGTGGCCAGCACTGGGGGTGTCAAGAGCAGATTGCCTTATTTTTTGTTTGTTTTCAATCTGGCCCCAAAAGGACGTCGTTTTGGGGCATTATAAGAACCACTGCAAGAAAAGCTGAAGAGGATCCAGACTCGATCTTAACTATGTGATATGTAGTAGAATCAGATGATGAAGGAATTATTCAATGCTATAGAAATTTTAAAATAATAATTATTAATTTAAATGAATGATTTATTTGAATTTTTAGGAGAATGTGCAAATTGTAAATCAATAAATTAAATAAACGATACGCCCTTGTTAGAACATGTTAAAAAAAAGTAATAGTTTACATTAATTATCTTGACTTGTATAGAAATATTAAATAAAAGCAGAAATAAATTTAATTTTTTTAAGAAGCTAATAAATTTGATATATACTTTAGGATGAAGTGTGGGATAGCACATTAATCGAAACAATTTTGTATCAAAACAAAATAAAAATAAATGATAAGTGTAATTTTAAGTATAAAATTAAATACGAAATTAATTTGATATA